TCTGAGTTGGTACTGAGAGTCTTTTCTGATCCCCTCATTTCTAGATTGCAGGGTACCTATATGGGGTGAGTCCTCCGGATAACCCTCAAGTGAAGGAGATCCGTTGCATTGTGATGGTGCCACAGTGGGGCACTCACCAGACTGTGCACCTGCCCAGCCAGCTGCCCCAGCATGAGTACCTCAAGGTTTGTGATGGCGGAGCCTGGGAATTGAACTTACTGTCCGGTGGCATTTGTCTGCAGATGGGTTGAACAGCTCTTTATTGCTCTTTGCCTACAGGAGATGGAACCCTTAGGTTGGATCCACACTCAACCCAATGAGTCTCCCCAGCTATCACCCCAAGATGTCACCACTCATGCCAAGATCATGGCTGACAACCCATCTTGGGATGGCGAGAAGACAATTATTATCACCTGCAGGTGGGTGCGGGCCTCTTCTAGTGGAAATAATATAGAGTAGGTATTGCAGGTCAGGGCCTAAGCACTCAGCCTGTTTTTTCCTTCCCCAGCTTCACCCCAGGCTCTTGCACACTGACAGCCTACAAGTTGACCCCCAGTGGCTATGAGTGGGGCCGACAGAACACTGACAAGGGCAACAACCCCAAAGGCTACCTGCCCTCGCACTATGAGAGGGTCCAGATGCTCCTGTCAGACCGATTCCTCGGCTTCTTTATGGTTCCTGCCCAGTCCTCCTGGAACTACAACTTTATGGGTATGTGGTTGTGTGCCACAGCATGGGAAGTGTGGGCAGGGTAGGGCTTGGAAGTAGGAGAGGCCAGCACTCTTGGCCCTTGGGATTTGACTGCCCAAGGGCTCGGGCTGGGTGAGGCAGGCAGACCCTTGTTAACACTTGATGTTTCCCCCTCTCTAAGGTGTTCGGCATGATCCCAACATGAAATATGAGCTGCAGCTGGCAAACCCCAAGGAATTCTACCATGAGGTCCATAGGCCCTCCCACTTCCTCAACTTTGCCCTCCTGCAGGAGGGTGAGGTCTACTCTGCAGACAGAGAGGACCTCTACGCCTAGTTATTTCCTTGCTTTCTTCTGCTTTGGATCCCCTTGCACCTCCCATAGACAAGCTGCTGACATTCAGCAGTCTGGCCCCTTTGTGTTTTGTGCTCGTGTTGTTGATAGTCTAATCCTGAACAAAATGTAATAAATTTTGTATAAATAGGAGTGCTGTTGTTTTCTTGCTCTTACGAGTTCAGATTCTGGGTGTAGATTGCTCTGGGGACTGACTTGGGCAGTTCACAGCAAGGTACTGCGTCCCCCCTCCAGGCCTTTGAGGGAACTGAGTTGAGCCTGGCTTTCACACTCCACTACCTTGACCGTATTGACAGGTTTCTCTGGTCCTGGAGCTGGAATGCCTGGCCTTGTCCATATGTAAATGTTGTCGTTCCTGGTGGGGTAACAAGCACATCTGTGGCTGTCCCAGCAGCCCAGTAGAGGATATTTGCTGACCTTCAGTCTTTCACCTCCCTGAAGTGCTTGGCAGCCACGTCTAGGGGTGGAGCCTGGAGCAGGCACTAAGGGGAGGGCTTGCCTAAAGTGACCACTTACAGCCCTTGCCCTCAGCTCTTGGACACCTGCCTGGAAGTTGGCTGCTGTCCTGTATCCAGTGACCTTGTAGGTGGACCAGAATAGGGCTCGAGGGGCCTAGGGCACTCTCCCACCTGAAGGCCTTTTTCCTCCATTTGCCCCTCCCTTGTTGCTTCTACTCCGCCCCTTATGACCCTAAACTTCCTGGGCCGGAACTGTTTGGCTTTTTCCTGCCCCAGTTGAGTGTGGGGGTGGCTTTTGGCCTTAGGAGAGGGAAAATGGAACCCAGGAGGGCAGCGCCTGGACCACCCAGCCAGGACTCTGCTGTGGGCGCAGGGTCAGCTGCGGAGGTCGTGTACCATTTAGCGGGGGCCCTGGGCACTGAGCTGCAGGAGCTGGCACGCCGCTTCGGGCCCGACGCGGCAGCTGGGCTGGTGCCACTAGTGGTGCGGGCGCTGGAACTCTTGGAAAAGGCGGCCGTGGGGCCCGCTCCAGACTCGGTGAGTCACCGGCTCCTCCTCTTACCCCGGTCAACCGGCGGGCCCTAACCCCAAGTCCCCCTGGCTCCTCCAGCTGCAGGTGTCCGCGCAGCAGGCCGAACTGGAGCTGCGGCGGCTGCGCGAGGAGAACCGGCGCCTCCGCGGGGAGCTAGGCTCAGGGCCGCAGGGTGAGTGCGGGTCCCGCCGGAGCACAGTGAGCTAAGGGGCACCCGGGACCTTCGCACCCCGGAGGCCGGTGCTAAGAACACCCCTTCCTCAGAGGAGCGCGCGCTGCTGCGACAGCTCAAGGAAGTGACGGACAGACAGCGGGACGAACTTCGGGCACATAGCCGAGATCTAATGCGCCGAAGTCAAGAGACAGAAGCGGTGAGCGCGGGACCCAACCAGAGCGTGGAGTGGGGCGGGGCCTGGGCGGGCTTTGGAGCCCCGCCCACTAGCTCCCTCGCCCCACCCCCAGCTGCAGGAGCAGCTGCAGCGCCTCCTGCTGGTCAACTCAGAGTTGCGGCACAAGCTGGCAGCAGTACAGACCCAACTGAGAGCCGCGCAGGACCGAGAGAGGGAGCGCCGCCAAATAGCTCGGGATGGCTCCCACCAGCTGGCTGAAGAACAGAGGCTGAAGCCCGAAGCAGCAACCCCAGATGACCGGGTGAGAGCCAGAGCGGAGTCAGGATACATCCCAAAGCTCACAACATCCATTGCTTGGTGGGCCCGGCCTGGGTGTGCTATGCAGTGTAGAGAAGGTCCGCAGGAAGTCGGAAGGCAGCAAGAGTTTCCATTGCAGCAGTAATCCACCACCTACTGTAGCAGCAACCTTGTCCCTTAAGTTTTCCTGCCAGACACTTCCCCTAACATTACTGGGAGCGCTGGGATTTAGGGAACGGCTAAGAGAGGCTACCCTCTGACCGTACTCGACCTTGTACAGGTGGATGCTTTGCAGCAGCCAGGGCGCCCTCCAGAGGCCGTTCAGTGTGGCTTCAGCCGGGAGGAGCTTAAGCAGATCCTTCAGGAGAGGAATGAACTCAAAGCCAACGTATTCTTGCTCAAGGAGGAACTGGCCTACTTTCAGCGGTGAGGGGCCGGAGCTAGGATGCCTGTTCCTGGGCTACAGGTCACCCCACCTCATTCTCTGGATCATTTATAGGGTCAGCAGTGACATTTGCCAATGTCCTGCTCAGGCACTGGGAAGAAATAAATTCCATAGTCCCTGCTCTTCTGGAACCTCAATCAAACAGGGTGACACCAGGGGTCACCAAGCCGGAGCAGCAGGTCGGAAGTATTCTTAGGAGGGGCCATCTAAGTTCAGTTCAGTTCAGAGGTGTTAGCCAATATAGAGGAAACAGAGCTCAGGCACTAGCTGGAAACCTACGGTTGGCATTCCCACTCTCTTCCCCCTCTGACCCCCACTTTAGAGAACTGCTCACAGATCACCGGGTCCCTGGGCTTCTACTTGAAGCCATGAAGGTGGCAGTCAAGAAACAGCGGAAGAAGATCAAGGCTAAGATGTTAGGGACACCAGAGGAAGCAGAGAGCAGGTAAGACCCGGCCTCCATATCCACTGAAGGAACCCTTCTGCCTGCCATGGTTCTCCTGTCCCCAATGACCCAGCCTCATCATGCCCTGCACTCACTGAACCTGCTGTCCAGCTGCCATCCTTCGCTCTGGAACCCACTGCTCACATCTGCCCTGGCTGCTCTCCATCCCGCTGAAGAAACTGTTAATGCCGCTTCTCCACATTGCTTCCCGTTTCTTTCCTTGGCTGGATCTCTTTCCTGTGGCTGCAGTCTTGTGAGGGGCTGTTGTTTGCTGGACTATAAAGTAAAAGCCTCAAGATGCCCCATGTCTCCTCAGTCCCTGGGGCCTCCGCAGCCCCTCCACCCTCCCCTGATGCTCCTGAAAGTAGTTTAGGAGGCTCCATATGAGCTGGACTCAGAGTATCCCTTAAGCCCTCCATTTCTTTATCTTAGTGATGATGAGGATGACTCGTGGCTCCTGCTCTCCAACGACAAGGAAGATGCTCCCCCAGTTCCTGGATCCAGAATACAGAATTTGTATGTTGGAGGAAGGGAGGGCGGGGGGGGGGTGAAGGAGGGGCCTGCCTGGCCCTCCTGCACCCTGTTTTTCTGTTACACTGCTCTCTGTCTTCCCTCCTGCTTCTTTGCCCCAAATACCTTCAGTTCCCTCTGACCTGTGCTGTCCTCTTTCCTCCAAAGCCCCCTCCTCACCTCTCTCTACCTACAGCCCACATGCCTGGCATCTCTGCCTTCCTGGCTCAATGTACCTCTCTTGGTTTTCCTTCCAGCTTTAGCTTATGGTATCGGGGTGAAACTGAGGCCCCTGAAGCTGAGACCAGCAATACAGCTCCCAGCAGTCTACCAGAAGGAGAAGCAGCCCCACAGCAACCGTGCCTGGAACCTGTGGACAGCCTTCCAGCCCCCAACTCCTGACCAGCCCTTCTCTGCTTTCAGTGGTCTGAAGGTTTCAGCCACACGCTAGGCCTAACTTTGGATTCTGGCTGGGTATGGATGTGTGACCTCAAACAAGGACGAGGCTCCTCTTATACCTAACCTGCACTAGGCATGATGGGATTTCAGCCTCTCTCCCTTCCTTGACATCTCTTTCTCTGAGCTCTATTTTTCCCATTGTGAGAAAAAGGGCTGCCTACCTCCCTGAGGCTTATGCAGGTGACCAGTACAATAAAGCTCATATCCATAATACCAAAAATGTTCTCTGTCTTTCTGTCAGTGGTCCTTGTTCCCTGCCAGCCCAGCCAGAAATAGGCATGGTGAGGTGGTGATGCTGCATTGCAAGGTCTCCTCACTGGGGTTCAGGAATGTCTCTTTATTTGGGGAGTATCACTTTGCCTGTCTCCAGTACTTGGGGAGCCTGTGGCTTCAGTCGTTTGTTCCTCCAGACTAAGCCCACTCAGGGTTCTTTTCATTTCTGAGTGTTGAGCTGCCTGCCCTCCAGGGAGGTGCCTCATAGCAGCCCGCCCTCTATGCTGGCTTCCTCAGGAAAAGCCTTGGGAGGAAACAGGGAGGGGGTTGGGCGCTGTGGGGACCTGATCAAACCAGGCCCTCCTACTCCACTGGCCACCATGGGACTAGGGCTCCTGTTCCCTCTGCTGCTGCTCTGGACTCGGGGGACCCACGGATCCACACTAGACCCAACTGGTCAGCATGTCTGTAGAGGCAGCAGGTGGGTCTTGTGGGAGTCTGCCTGGTAGAGATGGTGGCTGACTAGGGTTGAGTCATCTTGGAAAATAAAGAGGCGGGTAGGAGGTCATGGGCCTGAAGGAAGGGGGCTCTGAGAGCAGCCTGTCAGGTAATAGATGGCCAGGGCAGATGATGGGAAGGTCAGGGAAGGAGAAAAGAGGGTTTAGGATGTGGATACTATGACTACGGGCTGTGACATCAGGGCTAGATTTCCTAGGTGGGACTGGGGAGACTCCCACACCTCAGCCAGCATTGGCGACCCATGCTATGGGGACCTGCTGTCCCCTTCCTATCCTACAGCCCCTCTGAGCTCCAGTGCTGCCCAGGCTGGAGACAGAAAGATGAAGAATGCACCATCCGTGAGTAGCCGGGACAATCCCCTAGCCACAGAAAGGAAGGATATGACCCAGTGACAACCCTTCCTACACTACCTCTCCCCTCCTGAGCCCTGGAGCCAGTGTCCACCCTATGACACATAGCCCTCTCCAGCACAGGGAGGATGGTCTTAAAGGGAGCAGCCTCCCAGGAGTGGGTGAGAGGGGCCGGGGTGCCCTTTGTGTCCCAGTCCTTTCTAGCCTGGGTGGGGTATTTTTCAGCCATCTGTGAGGGGCCTGATGCCTGCAAGAAAGATGAGGTGTGTGTGAAGCCAGGCCTCTGTCGATGTAAACCTGGATTCTTCGGAGCCCAGTGCAGCTCCCGTGAGTTTCAATGGCTGGGGGAGTTGTTGGGCAGAACTGGCTAAGGGGCAGGAAGTAGGCAAAGCAAAGAGATGTGTAAACTTAGAAGGGCAAGATTAAAATCCCCCAAACTTCACTGAGGAAAGGGCTCAGAAAGAGGAAGCAACAAGGAGATGCCCTGGGTGGGTGGGGGCTGTGGGGACCCACAATGATCTGGTACCTTCACTTTTAACTTTCCTGTAAGGACAATTAAAAGAGGTAGGCTGGAGACCACAGGCCTGTGATCCCTGCTAACTATACCTCATACTTGAGTGGAGGGTAGGAGGAGCCTGGAACTAGATTCTTCAGAAGGGGTGAATAGCCAGCATGAAGGGTCCCTGGGTTGGAAGAGGATATATGGACTTTCCTGTCATTCTGGTGGGCATCTTTTACTGGAAAGTCAGGTGTCAGTGATGGCCAAGGTTAGGGGACACCTCACAGGAGAGGCAAGGGACTTGAATGAAAAATCCTATCCACTTGTGAGACTGGACACATCTCTGTCAAACTCAAGATCTGTGTTCTGGAATGTGAAATTGAGGTTAAGCTAAGGCTAAGGGCTTTGTCATCTGAATCTGGGGCCGGAAGTGAACTGGGTCCCAGGAGGAAAAGCTGCCAGAACAGGCCTGTGTCCTTTTCCTTGGGAAAGGGGCAGGGTGAGGACCTGTGCCCAGCCTTGAACCCATTTGTCTCCCATCCCTAACCTCACAGGCTGCCCAGGCCAGTACTGGGGCCCTGACTGCCGTGAGACCTGCCCTTGCCATCCACGTGGCCAGTGCGAGTTGGCTACGGGTGTGTGCCAGTGCCAGCCTAACTACTGGGGCAGGCTCTGTGAGTTCCCTTGCACCTGTGGCCCCCACGGACAGTGTGACCAAAAGACAGGCTTATGTCACTGCGATCCTGGTTGGTGGTCATCCACATGTCGTCGCCCATGCCAGTGCAACCCAGCAGCACGCTGTGACCAGGCCACTGGAGCCTGCCTGTGCCCATCTGGCTGGTGGGGTCGCCGCTGCAGCTTCAAGTGCAACTGTCACAACTCACCCTGCGTACAGGACTCTGGCCACTGCACCTGCCTGCAGGGCTGGTGGGGTCCTGAGTGTAATCACAGGTGCCAGTGTGTTCGAGGCCAGTGCAGTGTTACTTCTGGCCACTGTTCCTGCCCTCCTGGCTTCTACGGAGCCCGCTGTGAGCTGCCCTGCAACCCTGGCCACTATGGAGCACAGTGCAGAGAAAGGTGAGGGGACAGAAGGTGAGGGGACAGGGAAGCTGCAGGCAGAGGGGGACAAGACACAAGTCAGGAGGTAGGAGGAGGGTCTCAGGTGATCTCCAAAATATATATAAAGCAGGAATGAGAGAGAAAAGACTTCAATGCGTCTATGTCTACCCGGGCTTCTCTCAGCCCATTAATGTGAAAAGTAGAAGCCAGGCAGTGGCTAACTTTAACCCCAGGACTCAGGAAGCAGAGGCAGGTGGATCTAGTAGTTTGAGGCCGGCCTGGTCTACAGAGTGAGTTCCAGGACAGCCAAGGCTACACAGAGAAACCCTCAAAAAACACAAAACAAAAGCAGTCAAATAAACAAAAAGTACAAACCGCTGATCTGGAGAGAGGCACTCCACCATACTGCTCTTTCAGAGGCCCTGAGTAACCTGAGTATTGTGCCCACCACCCACATCTACTGCCCCCTACTGGCTGATAACTGCACTCATGTACACATACCTCCACATAGATGCTCAAGCACATGGAGCAGTGGTTTTCAACTGTCCTAAGGCTGCAACCCTTAATACAGTTCCTCATGTTGTGGTGACCCCCAAGCATAAAATGATTTTCATTGCTACTTCATAACTGTGATTTTGCTACAGTTATAAGTTATAATGTAAATATCTCATATGTGACATGTGATCCCTGTGAAAGGATTGTTCAACCCCCAAAGGGGTCATAGGGGTCATGATCCACAGGTTGAGAACCACTGATACAGAATATATATATCCTATAATCCAAGCACTCAGGAGGCTGAGGCAAGAGGATTCCCTGTGAGGCTGCAAGTTCCTAGCCTGATTTACAGAGCAAGTTCAAGCCAGCCAGGATTACATAAGTCTCAAAATGTAAAACAAACAGCAATTACTACACGGCCTGTTTTGGTTGGGATAGGACTATAATCCCAGCACTTGGAAGGCAGAAACATAGGATGACACACTGGATGTCAGACTGGGCTGCACACTGGGGTGGCAAGACTATGTAGGATCAGTAGTAACAAAGCAGGCTAGAGACAGGAGGACCATTTACTATCATCTTTAACAACTTAGCATGTCTGAGGCTAGCCTGGGCTACATGCAGATACTATCTCAATGATCTCCCTCCCCACAAAGTAGCAACAAGCTATATTTAGAAAGGGGAATGGGTTTGGAGATACAGATCAAAGGTAGAGAGGCTTGGCACCTTGGAACCCCGGGAATTGAAGCCCGGGGTTCAATTTCCATCACCAGAAAGCTCAGGGAGCAAAAATATAGCAAGACATTATATCCCGTGATACCTGTAGTGAGTCAGGATGTGACCAGACAACACAAACCCAGCCTTTACTGTAAACAAATAAGAATTGCTATAGTGTTTTTCTTTCTTTTCTTCTCTTATTTTTCCCTTTCCCTCTTTGGTTTGGTTTGGTTTTGGTGTGAGTTCCAATCTCATGTAGACTAGGCTGACCTCAAACCCCTGATGCTCCTTGCCTCCTCTTCCCACGTGCTGGGATTACGATTACAGGCATTCACCACCACAAGCCATCTCCTCTCCTCCCCTTTTCTTTGATATTTTTGAGACAGGGTCTCACTCCATAGTCTCTGCTGGCTTTCAGGTCCGAGCCACCACTCTCAGCTTGTAGCTTTTTGGTTTGTTGGTTTGTTTGTTTGTTTTTGTTTTTTCCTGAATGATAGTCAGAACCAGTCAAACTGATTTTTTTTTTTTAATGACAAGGTCTTTTTGTGTAACTCAGGTTGGTGTTTGATTTGCAGAGGTCTTTATGACTCTGTCTCTGAGTGCTGGGATTAGAACAGGAGGCACCACACCCAGCTCAGCTTCTCTGGTTTTATGAGCACCTCTTCTCCCTGGTAATGGATCCCAGATGACTAAGTATCTGGAGAGAAGAGTCAAGCTCCTATTAGCATCAGTGGAAAATTAAGATGAGTTAATCCTAAAACTATTGATGAAATACATTTCTATTTGCCCTATCTAGCTAGCTAGCTAGCTGTCACAGGGTTTCTCTGTGTAGCCTTAGTGGTCCTGGAACTCTGTAGACCAGGCTGGCCTTGTGCTCACAGAAATCCACCTGCCTCTGTCTCCCCAAGTGCTGGGATTAAAGCTGGACACCCCCCAGTACCTGGTTTGTTCATTTATTTTTAATAATACTTAAAAATCTTTAGTTTTATTTTATGCATGTGGGTGTTTTACCAGCATGTATGTCTATGTACTAGTGCCTGCAGAAGCCAGAAGAGGACACCAGATCCTCTAAAATTGGAGTTATATTCAGTTGTAAGTTGCCATGTGGATACTGGGAACGGAACCTCTATAATAGTAGTTCTCAACCGTGCTAATGCTGCAACCCTTTAATGCAGTGTTGTAGTGATCCCCAACCATAAAAGTATTTTGTTGTTACTTTTTAACTGTAGTTTTGCAACTGTTATGAATTGTAATGTAAATATTTGATATGTAGGATATCTGATATGTGACCCATGTAAAAGGGTCATTCAACCCCCAAAAGTGTCAAGATTCATAGGTTGAAAACCCCTGCTCTACAATTGCTCTTAACTATTGAGCCGTCTCTCTAGTATACAGCACAGATGAGACTTCAGCTTGAGGGACCCATCTGGGGCCTGGGTGCTCTCCAGTGTCCAGAGGCCTGAGTGGGCAGTGTGGGCAGTTCACAGGGTAGAAGGTACAGCACTCACCTGCTCCCAGTGAGCCCATGGACCCTTTTTCTTGCCAGCTGTGGCCACTGCACGCTGAATACAACGTGCTCTCCAGTCACGGGCACCTGTGAATCCTGCAAGCCCGGCTGGAATGGGACTCAGTGCAAGCAGCCATGCCCTCCTGGAACCTTTGGTGAGAGGTGCCGCGAGCAGTGTCCCCGCTGCCGGCTTGGAGAGCCCTGTCATGCAGAAACTGGGCACTGCCAGCGCTGTGACCCTGGTTGGCTAGGGCGCAGGTGAGAGGCTACCTTCCTCAGGATACATTTTTTCCTACTGGACCCCTCCTCTCAGCTGCTTTCTCTGGGAGAGATGCCCCTTCTAGAAAGATCACATTCACACAGCTGGGGGGGGGGGGCGCCTCATGGCTCTGCTGAGGGGAAGAGAAGGTTCTGAGGGGCTCTGGGGTGGCTTTGGGAGCTGCCTCCGCCTTGGTCCTTCCCTTCTTCTCCCTTCAGGGACCTGTACTTTGTCACCCACTTGAGTTTGGATCCAGGTTCAAGGCCATGTATACATATGCTTTACTGCAGGGGAATGACCCTTTGGGGAGCCTGAGTCCGGGAACGTGGGAGAGGCCGTAGGGCCTTTCTGTCTTCCCAATTCTGAGTTTTGCTTCCCCTGTGTGGCCCCAGATGTGAGAACCCTTGTCCCCTTGGTTCCTTTGGGGAGGGCTGCAGCTCCACCTGCCCCACCTGTGTTCAGGGGACCTGTGATGCGGTGACAGGGGAATGTGTCTGCAGTGCTGGCTACTGGGGGACCAGGTAAGGACTAAGCCCTGGGGACAGGGGATCGTGGAAGATGAGGTCAGGCCTCTGTATAACGTTTCCTAAACATCTCTCATTGAGCCAGGAGTGGCAGCACACTCCTTTAATCCCAGCACTTGGGAGGCAGAGGCAGGCAGATCTCTGAGTTCGAAGCCAGCCTGGTCTACAGAGCTAGTTCCAGGACAGGCTCCAAAGCTACACAGAGAAACCAAAACCAAATAGCAACAACAACAACAAAAAAATCTCTCACTGTGCCTCTCTACTTCCCAGAAACCCTCTCTCTAACTAAGACATTAATTCTCCTGTATGGGGTGGCACCTTCTGAAGAAATTCGGAGGTTAATCTAAAAGGACTAAAACATAAATGAGACTTTTTAAAAGGGAAGAAAAACTAAAGAGAATTTTTAAAGGGAAAGAAAAACCCATGGGGAGGGAAAGGGGGTGGGGCTCACCACTCAGACGAGTACTTTACTTAGGGGCAGGACACAAAGCCTGCTGCTGTTGCCCTAGTTCTCGGGGTGTCAAGCAGCCAGCATCTTCAGGCTGGTGTTCATCTAAAGGACAGCACAGAGTGTCAAGTGGAGGAAGGGATGGAGGTCCAGGGCGTTGGGAAGGGACAGGTCCTTGATGCCCTACATCTTGCTTCTCCCACATTAAAGCTGGGGGATGAGGGTTGTCAGAGGTGGATGCTATCCAGGGTCTCTACAGTGACTCTCAACACGGTGGGGCCACTTAGCATGTGACTTAGAAGTCAGAGGGGTCCAGAAATCTATTCTACCTTCTCCTCTGAGGTACCTTCAGCCCGCCTTTTCTATTACCTACCCTTAGCTGCAATAGTTCCTGCCCATCTGGCTTCCATGGAAACAATTGCTCTACCCCCTGCCAGTGCTCAGAGGGGCTCTGCCACCCTGTGTCTGGGGCCTGCCAGCTGGGTAAGTGGAAGGAGGGTAAGGGAACATTCGGCCCTTTCTTCATGAGTCTCATGCAGGGAAGGATGGGCCCCGATTCAGAAATGGGACCCTCAGAGTCCCTGAACACGTGACCATCTCCCATGTCCCCAGGCCCCCGAGGTAAAAACGCCCTCATTGCGGGGATCCTGGTGCCTCTGCTGCTGCTCCTTGTGGGTCTCATCTGCTACGTTTATTGCTGCTCAGCCACCCGACTGGACCCCAAGGACAGGTAAACAGCCATTCTGTGTGTTCCTTTTGGGGTGGCAAAGGGCTGACCTTGTCACACTTCAGGTTGTGATGCTTGGCACAGATTGAAGCCTGGAACTGCTTGTCTTCCTTAGAAACCTTTGACAAAGAAGTGTCTGAGTCACATGAACACAAGCAGGGGGCACTGAGTGGCAGGGGACTCAAAGTCAAACTTGTAGCTGAGCTCGTGACATTGTGACAAAGGCAGGGACAGAGGAGAATCCAACAGCTCAGCAGAGAAGGGAAGAGACTAGATCTCAAAATGTCAGGGAAGCCTGGCAGTGGTGGCATATGTCTTTAGTTCCAGCCAGCACTTGGGAGGCAGAGGCAGGTGGATCTCTGTGAGTTCGAGGCCAGCCTGGTCTATAGAGTGAGTTCCAGGACAGCCAAGGCTACAGACAGAGAAACTCTCTCTTGAAAAAACAAACAAACAAAGTCAGGAAAGAGAGGGGCAGAACAGTCTGAGCTGTGGTTTTGCAGAACACATGGCCTGAGAGGTAGATTACGGAGAAAGTGTTCACATATCACATTGCTCTTCGCATCTTTTGGCCCCTTGGACACTCACCACGTCATGGAGGTTTGGAACAGGGAATATGATGGTGTGAGGATTATTTTCATCAATTTACTAAGACACTGAGGCTCATGGTGTCTTAGCTGCTCATGGCTCACACAGAGGCCCTGCCTGGCTCTCTGGACTCTTCGTCCAGTGTTCTTTCTCCTCACCATGCCGGGACTCATCACCAGGGCTTACACATGCTAAGCAAGTGTTCCACTACTGAGCCGCATCCTGAGTCTTATTTGTTTGCTTGTTCTTTGAGGAAATACCTTACTATGTAGCTCAGGCTCTCATGAACTGGATATCTTCACTCATCAGCCACTTGAGTGATAGGATTCCGGGAATGTGTCACCGTACTAGACCCTGATCCTTGATTTTATCCTTTGTGCTGTGGGGCATTTATAGATGAGCAGGTAGCCTGAGGGTAGAGAAACATCTTTCCTCACCCCTGGAAGAAGGTGAGAACTTGTCCAAAGACAGAGAAATTTGACAAGCTGTCATTCCAATTTGGGGGTAGAGTAGAATGGGGACAAAGGCAAGTTCCTGGGACTTAACTAGGATGACAGTCACAAAGAGCTACATTTTTGAGAAACCATTGCAGGTACCTAGTACTGTACCAGCCCTGGGCCCTGCCAATAGTTCTGTGTGATTTATAACTGAGGCCTGGCTCTAGAGTAGGTGTTCTCAACCTTCCTAATGCTCTGACCCTTTAATACAGTTCCTCATGTCGGTGACCCCAATCATAGAATTATTTTTGCTGCTACTTCACAACTGTAATTTTGCTACTCTTATGAGCTGTAATATCAGTATTTTTGTGGATAGGAGTTTGTCAAAGGGGTTGAGGACCAGTGCTCTGGAGCCATATTGTTTTCTGTGATTTAGGTTTTGGGCTCTGTTGTAAGGAGTCTTTTTCTGCCCTGCCCACCAGCTCCCAAATAATGACCCAGAGAATTCTTATTAATTATGAAAGCTCAACCTATAGCTTTGGCTTGTCTTAGCTAGTTCTTATAACATATTAATCTACATTCTGCCTTGTGGTTGTTACCTCTCCTCGTGCACATCCTGCTTGCTCTATGTCTCCTGGTGTTTCCAACTTTCTTTTTCCCAGAGTCCTCTCTGTCTCCGGAAGTCCTCCCTGACCTCTCCCTGCCTACCTATTGGCCATTCAGCTCTTTATTAAATCAATCAGAAGTCACCTGGGCATATCTTCACAGTGTAAACAAATACTCTGTAACACTTTATAGTTTGGAATTGATTCTGTCATCACCGCAGGGCCATTGAAGTAGCTGTGGTCACCTGTCACATCCTGTCAGTCTGTCCTGGGCCCCCATTATTTCTTACACTGGTCACCCTTCCTCTGCCACCCTCTCAGGCCACAGAGAAATGGAGCTGCCTTGTTCAGAATGAAGCAGCAGGTGTGGGGAGCCCTCACCAGCTTGGGTTCTTCACTGCCCTGTGGCTCCCTTAGTAACTACAAGCTACCCTGGGTGACAGGTAAGCGGGTACTGGGGGGCCAGGATTAGGAGTATAGGGCCAAGATGGGACAAAGCTTCCCATGAGGCCCCAGACCTGACTTGGAGTCCCTATAGTTTCTCACCACGATCCGGAGGTTCCCTTCAACCACAGCTTTATCGAGCCACCATCTGCTGGCTGGGCCTCTGATGATTCCTTCTCTTCTGACCCTGACTCTGCAGAAGAAGACGAAAGTCATGCCTACTCCATGCCACCTCGAGAAGGTAGCCCCCAGTATCCCCCAGCCCAAGCAGCCTTGCCCACTGTGATGCCTTCCGTGTTCCTTCAGTTAATGGATGCCTAGTGCTTACCCCCGCCCCCCACTTGCTGTCTCTGGCTTGAGCACAAGTTCAGGACAAGGAAGAGTCCAGTCCTCACCAAGCCTATAGTCTGGTGGGCAGTAAAAAGAAAAGTCATACTGGGCATTATTGGCTCACGCCTTTAATCCTAGCACGTAATCCTAGCACTTAGGAGGCAGAGGCAAGTGGATCTCTGTAAGTTTGAGGCCAGCCTGTTCTACAGAGCGAGTTCCAGGACAGGCTCCAAAATAATAACAGAGAAACCCTGTCTTAAAAAAACAAAAAAAGGGGCTGGAGAGATGGCTCAGCCGTTAAAGACTAGGCTCACAACCAAAAACATAAAAAAACAAAAAAAAGAAAGAAAGAAAAGTCATGCTGAACATGGTGGCACACACCTTTAATCCCAGCATTTGGGGGGGCGGGGAGCAGAGGCAGGTGAGTTCAAGGCCAGCTTTGTCTACATAGTGAATTCCAGGATAGTCGCGGGTATGTAGAGAGGCCTTGCCAAATAAATAAAATAAAATGTCACTAGCCAATAGAGGACAGAATTGTCCTAAAATTCCTTCCAGGAGAAACATAAGCAACTTCTATCCCATTTCCTAAATTAAGGTCTCAGCCTCAAACCATGGCACAATGACACCAAGGCATATTCTGGGAGCCAATGAGTTTATTGGGTTTCCATATAGTGAGGGTTTATTTACAGGGGTGTGGGTGTTCCTCCCTACAATAGGCCATCTCTAGAAAGCCTTTACCCACAGGGATGTGGGCTTACCCAGCCGCATGGATGGAGCCTTCCTCTGTTGTATTTTCCCCCAGCCTGTATATTCTAGCCCCTCCCCAGAGGCACGTGCATTTAAAGTAGAGCTGTATACCATATACCACAGGCGAGGAAGTGCTGAGTACTTGGGTGAGGGTCTTGACCCTCTCTGACCCTCCCTCCGTGAGAAGATATGAACAGCAAGGCCAGCTGGGACAATCCTCTTCCAGGGGAACAGCTGAACACTCCAGAGGAGTCACAATACCCGTGCTTTAGTGGGACATGTTTAAAAAAAAGCAGGGACTCCGAAGCTACCCCTGTCTGGGATAACCGGGGTTAAGGAATGTATCTGTTAGTAGTAGCTGTTGAGTTTAGAAGAATCAAGAGGAATTAGCAAGTGAAAACCAGGCAGGAGTGATGGTGTTTTGGATAAATGGGACTGTGTTCAGAGGCTCAAAGTGGGGAGGGGTAGAGTGGAGGACTGGTGCCTTCTGCCCCAGCCCCTCCCCTGCTCTTGAGGCCTCTGGGAAAAATCTGTGCCCAGGGTAGAATGGATTAGAGCAGTACCTAGCCTTACTCAGCTCTTTCCATCTCCCCACCTCACCCCCCCCCCCCAGTGATGGTCCCTGTGGCCCAAGAAGAGTCTCCAGAAGCCAGCCTTCCTGGAGGCCCCTTCCCTCCCCCTGAGGATGCTTCGACACCATTCCCCATCCCACGCACCTCCAGCCTGGCTCGGGCCAAGAGGCCGTCTGTCTCCTTCGCTGAAGGCACTAAGTTTGCACCGCAGAATAGCCGAAACTCTGGGGATCTCTCCAGCCCCGTACGAAAACCCAAGAGACTCTCCAGAGGTGCTCAGCCATGTCCTGAAGGGCAGGAGGCTGAGGAGCCTGCAGATCCAGAGCAAGCAAACACAGAGGAGGATGCTCCTACTGCCACAACTCCTGGAGATTCTGCCACTAGTCACCAGCACCCACCTACTAACCGGACAGTGGCTGAGTGTGTGGAAACTACCAACGGCAGCATCCAGGAGAGCTCAGGCTCTGTGGACACAATCTATATGCTGGCAGGAACACCCCAGAAACCCGAGGGCCCTGCCTGGTCTGTCTTCCGTCGTTTGGGAAACTATCAGAAAGATCAGGCAGCACCCAAGGTCAAGAGCGCCATCCCTAAGCCTTTGCGTCGATCTCTAGGTCGGAACCAGGGCAGCCCTGGGCTATCCCAGACCTCTGGCTCAGCTCCAGAAACCATGCTCTCTGGAACCATAGAATCCACTGAAGTTAGGCCAGAGGAAGCATCCAGAGGTCTGGGAGATGGCAGTGAGAGCTTAGGGACAGTCCAGGAGCCAGTTTCTGGAAACAGCTCCCTGGAACAGGCTTCCCAGAAACAGGCCAAAGAGGAGCAGGAGCCCCTATATGAGAATGTTGTGCCCATGTCTGTGCCAAAACAGCACTGAGGACCCTGAATTTGGTGAGTGGGAAGACTGTGGATGGGGATGTGGGGAGAGGAGGATGCCTAAACTGCTATGGACCTGCTTGGGGAGAGGAGAATACTGAAACTTCCATGGACCAGTGTGGAGAGAGGAGGATGCTGGAACTTCCATGGACCAGATCGGGCTTTGTGCTGGGAATTGATGCCAGACTAAGCAGAATTTGTGACAGACTAAGCACAAACCAAGCCCTGGAAGAGGCAAGGGTTAGGGGTCACCTGGCTGTAGGTCTGGCCCTGGCAGTGTTCCCAGTTGGGACTGGAAGACCTGGATAGAGACCCTGCAGAACGGGGTCAGAGGAAGGAGGGAGCTACAGAACTCTTCCTCTGTTGTTCTGGACTCTGTCCCAAGACCATTCTTTCCATCACTTCAAAACATTTTTTTTTCTGAAATAGAAAACAACCTAAATGATGATAATGATTAAACTAATATTTCTTTTAGAAAATGTATTAAAGTTATTTATTTTCCGAGAGGGTATGTGGCACAACATTCTTGTGGATGTCAGTGCCAGCTGTTGGGAGTTAGTTGTTTCCCATCACTTTGTGAGTCTGGGGGATACCACTCAGGTTGTCAGGCCTGTGTCCCATGCACTTCTAACCATTAAGCTACTTTGCCAGCCATTCTGTTTTGAGGCAGGGTCTCTCATGTAGCCCAGGCTAGTCTCATTCTTGCTGTGTGCCTGGGAATGTCCTTGAATTTATGATCCTTTTGCCACTACCTCCCAAGGGCTGGCTTGTACAACTTGAGTTTTCTGTTTGTATAGAGCTTTATTCATGGTAGGCAAGTATACTATCAACTGAGCTATACATCAGCCCAGTTGAACAAATACCCCCTAAAATTGGTTTTGCTGGGAAGTGGTGGTGCACTCCTTTAATCCCATCTCTTGGAAGGCAGAGGAGGTCAGATCTTTGAGTTTGAGACCAATCTGATTTAAGGAGCAAGTTCCAGGACAGTTAGGAAGGACAACTTAGAGAAACCCTGTATAGAAAAACTTAAAAACAAAAAGCAAAAAAAAAAAAAAAAAAAAAAAAATTAAGATTTATGTTTATGAGTGTTTCATATATCTGTTCACCAAGTGTGTGCCTGGTACCCTCAGAAGTCAGAAAAGGGCAGTGGATCCCTTGGGACTGGAGTTATGGATGGTTATGATTCACCCTGCGGATGATGGGAACCAAACCCTGTGTTCTCTGCAAGAACAAGTGCCGTTCATTGCTGAACCATCTCTCCAGACTTTTTTTTTTTTTTTTTTTTTTTTTATGCCCATGTGTTCCTGTGCACACACCCTTATCAATGCATTGCTGTGGAGCTTAAGGAACAACTATTGGATATGGGTTCTTTCTTACTTTCTTTTTTGGTTTTGGTTTTGGTTTTTTGAGACAGGGTTTCTCTGTGTAACTTTGGAGCCTGTCCTGGAACTCACTCTGTAGTCCAGGCTGGCCTAGCCTAGAACTCACAGAGATCCACCTGCCTCTGCCTCCCGTGTGCTGGGATTAAAGGTGTGCACCACCAACACCTGGCTATGTGTTCTCCCTTGCTACCTTGTGGATTCCAGGGTATGTGGTTTGTGGGTAAGTGCCTCTATCCACTGACATCTGGCCAGCCACACTTTCTGTCTCAGGATATGCTGAAAAGCATCCCTTGTTTGTCTTACAAAATTATGTTTTTTGTTTGTTTGTTTGTTTTGTCTTGAGAAAGGATCTCACTATGTACCCTGACTGACAGGCCTGGTACTCTCACAGAAACACACCTGCTTCTACCTTCCGAGTACCAGCATTAAAAGCGTGTGCCACCATACTTAGCTTTATTTTTAGATGCCTGTCAATGAATATAAAACTTTTCCATAAAATTTGATGGCCTAATCTCAGCAGCAGGAGGTGGGGGTTGAATGAGCCAGAAGTTCAAGGTTATCCTCAGGCTACATAGCAAGTTAGAGCCAGACAAGGCTGCATGAGACTTTGTGTCAAAACCAAAATAATATGGAATCTCATTGTATGAAAATAACACAGATCATAAACCACCCTTCCTGACCATTCGTGATTTTTTCCCTTTTTTGTTTTGATTTTCAAGACAGGTTTTTGTTTTTTCTGTGTAGCCCTAGTTGCCTTGTAGCTTGTTCTGTAGACCAGGCTGGCCTTGAACTCAGAGATCTGCCTGCTTCTGCCTCCCAAGTGCTAGGACTAGAGGTGTGTGCTACCATCGCCTGGTTTGGGTAGTTGTTTCTAATTGTTTCAATACAAAGTGATGCTGTGGGATGAGTGTATTAAAGCACTTGCTTAGGAGTGAGACGCTGAAGACGTGATGGGAACGTTAAGGAATGTATGTACTTGCTCCAAATGGCCTTCCAACACATGTGTGTGGGTTTGTATTCTTACAAGCTATGAGGGTACTAGGTGATCATGATGGCACACCTTTAATTTCAGCACTCAGGAGGCAGAGGCAGGCAGACCTTAGAGTTCAAATCCAGTCTGGTCCATAGAGTGAGTTCCATAACAGCCAGGAATACACAGAGAAACTTTCTCTTGCAAAAACAAAAAACCCAACCAACCAACCAAACCACAAAAAACAAAACAAAACAAAAGTATCAGAGCACTCATTTCCCCCCCTCCTACAAAATCTGACAGGTTAAAAACAATAGCTCACTATTTTGATATGAAAAATATTATTTGCTAAACTTAAAATCTATAAACACAAAACTTTTTTTTCCTTTTCTCTCTCTCTCTCTCTCTCTCTCTCTCTCTCTCTCTCTCTTTGAGACAGACTCTTACTGTGGCAGCCAAGGTTGGCTTTGAACTCTGGATCTTCATTTTTAGACTCTAAAGTGGTGGGATTATAGGCATACATCCCAAGTTAGACTAGTAAAAGTTTTTTTACTCATTCAAAAATGACATGCATGCTGGTGCATACCTGTAATCCCAGTACAGAGGCAGGCACAGGAGGACTCCATGCCAGCCTGCACTATATAGGGAAATCCTATCTCAGAAAAACAAAACCTGAAGTGTTGGAGGTAGGAGGGAGGGGTAAGAGCGGCAGGCAGGATGCACCTTTAGTTCCAGTGCTGAGGAGGGAGGCAGTAAGATCCCCAAGGCTTGCAGGCCAGCCAGCTTACCCTACTTTAGGAACTCCAGGTACAATTAGAGACCCTGGTCTACACAGTGGGTCAAAAAATAAGAAAAGACACTCTAATCAAACTCTGACCTCCTTCATATGCGGGCGCATACACATGAACATGTATGTGTATGTGCACTCATGCATACAAACAAAAAAGTATAGAAAAACAGAAAACCAAAACCATTAGCAGGACAGTGGTGGCACATGTCTTCAATACCAGCACTTAGGAGGCAGAGGCAGGTGGACTCTGAGTTGAAGGCCAGCTTGGTCTATATAGTGAACTCTAGGACAGCCAGAGCTGTTACACAGAGAAACTCTGTCTCAGAAACAAAGAAAAACATTTAACAAAACCAAACCCCAAACTGTGGCTATAACTCAATGGTAGAGAGCTTGCTTAACATATGTAAAGTCCTGGGGTTGATACCCAGCACCACCTACCCCTACATACAAAAGTATCTTTTTAGGTCCCAGCACCCACATCTTCTATAAGTGTAGTCCCATAGGATATTATGCCCTTTTCTGGTGTGCTGATACACATGCAGATAAAACACCCATGCACAGAAAACAAATAGATAAACCTTTGAGAAAAGTATCTTAAAATGTTTGGAGAGATGCTCAGTGGTTAAGACCATCTGCTGCTTTTGAAGAGGACTAAGCTTGGTTCCCATCAATCACCTCCTTGGCAACTCAATCACTTTATTCTAGTTCCAGGTGACTTGATGCCCTCTTCTGGCCTCCAGGGGTAATGCATGCATGTGGTGCACATTAGACAAAACACTTGTAAACTTAAAAAGGTATCTTGTTGGGCTTAGAGGTTAAGAGCACTAACTGCTCCTCTAGAGGTCCTAAGTTCAATTCCTAGGAACCATATGGTGGCAGTTCTGATGCCCTCTTCTGCCCTGTAGGGAAACATGCAAACAGAAGACTGTAATAAATTAATAATATTTAAAAAAAATAAAAAAAGGTATCTTGTTACTATTTGCATTTCTATGTTCATTCTAAGGTTGTGGTTCTTTTCAGACCCTTAAAGTGTTGTATTTTTCTACATATTAATTAAATTCTTTTTGTTTTTGAGACAGTCTCATTCTATTGCTTATGTTGACCTGGAACTCAAAATACAGCCTAGGAACACGTGGAGACACCATCTGTTTCATTCTCGCAAGTGTTTGGATTATAGGTGTCCTGGTTTACAGTTTTTTTTTTTGTTTTGTTTTGTTTTTTAATCAGGGTCTTCAGCCGGCCAGTGGTCAAGGCCAGCCTGGTCTACAGAGCAAGTTCCAGGACAGCCAGGGCTACACAGAGAAACCCTGTCTCAAAAAACCAAACAAAAACAAAAGCAAGCAAGCAAGCAAACCCCTCCCAGTCTCAGCAGTAGCGGTGCATGCCTTTAATCCTAGCACTTGGGAGGCAGAGGCAGGCCGATCTCTGAGTTGGAGGTCAGCCTGGTTTGCATAATGAGTTCAAGGACAGCTAGAGCTACACAGAGAAACCCTGTCTCAGGGGAAAAAAAAAATGACAAAAATAAACAAACCAGGGTCTCACTGTATAGTCCTGGCTGGCACTGGCCAGGAACTTTGTAGACCAGGCTGGTCTTGATTTAAAGAGTCCCACCTGCCTCTCCCATGGTGCTGAGATTAAATATGTGTGCCACCATGCTTGGCTCGGGCTCACAATTTCAAATGAGGTGTGGTTCACCTTTTTTGGCTGATTTGTAAGTACATATTAAGGACATTTTTATTTACTTTTCACGTTTGGAATACATGTACATGTATGTGTGGCTCTTATAACCTTCCTGTCCACTCTTCTGATGGTCCCTGGGACCTTGGGTTGTTTTGAGACAAGGTTTCTTGTGGCAAGGCTATCCTTGAACTCCTTGATCCTCTTGCCTCTACCTCCCAAGTGCTGGGATTATCGTCGTGGGCTGCAACTCCTGGATTATTATTTTAGATTTGCCAAAAGTCCTGCTAGTCTAGCTAGTCTAGGCATTCCCAATTAAAAAACAAAAAGTTTCATTCAGTTGGATCTGGGTCATCTTAACAGTGACTTTGGGAAAGCCACTAAGCCCTCAGTTTTTCATCTGGAATATAAGGATAATGGCTATATCTAGGGTGGTGGTAGGAATAAAGTGGCACAGGGTTTAAAAGCATCTAGTAAAAGTTTAGCTGTCAATAAAAGGTGATTACCATTGTCGCTACCATAATCCTTCTAGTGCAACATGATCTCATGCCCTAGAATCTGGTACTTCTTCCTTGCTCATGTTTTCATCCTACAGATTCATATTGTGCACCGGATTGAGTTAGTAGGAAGGGCTAGTAGTACCAAGGACTAAGACATGTCTGTCCCCAAGGAGTTTCCAGTGAGTGGAAAATGGGGACATATGTTATAAAATATTACAATCAGCAGACACAGAGAGCTACAGGCATTATAGAGGGTGGCTGGCGACGGCTTCCCAGAGGAGGTGCTGCCCAAGAAAGGGCCCTATTGAGAGAGGAGCAAATTGGGAACCCCAGCGATTGCATGACACTAGGACCAGGAGGAGGGAAAAGCCTGCTGCCTGCGTAGGAAGCAGCATGGGCGGGTCAGTTGGGGAACTTGAACTTTATCTAGCAGAACAAATGGTAGAGAGTTTCTGCAGAATCTAGCAAGAGGTCAGGTTTATCAAGGTCAGATTTACATTTCCCACAACTCACTGCGGGGTGGATATGAGATGCAGAGATTGCTGGATGAATAGCTGTGTCCCAGGAACAGAAATGGGCAGATTAGATAAACGCAACGCCTGGCTATACTGGTGCAGTGGGGGAGGGGGAGGGGAAGTGAATCCTCAAAATAGATTAACATAACTTTCCTGTTGAAAAGGTAAGTTCACAGCATCTAACTTCTTTAGATGCTATTAGCCCAGTATGGTGGCACATGCCTATGAATCCAGCACTCGGGAGGCAGAGGCCAGCATGGTCTACATGGTGATACCCTGTCTGAACAACATCCCTGCCAGATGGCACTATTACCCAAGGGAGAAGGGGACTCAATTTTAAGGGAGAAACATTTTAGAGCTATATTTGAAGAAAGTTCTCAAGTATATGGCTCAGGGAATGGATTGAAGGACTGAATATATATGTAGGTGGCAAGTCCAACTTGGAGCTTGTAAGATTCTGCACAGTGGGTCATCAGACCTGAAAATTCACCAACTCTAGACCAAATCTGGGAGGGCATGCGTTGGCAGGACGGCTAGCGAAGGTTCAGGGCACCAGGGGGCGCACTCGAGCTGAGGGACGCGGAGCCAGGTTTGGAGGGACTTTCACAGCCCTAAAGCGAGCCAGCACTTTAAGTGTGATGAATCTGAGGGACACCGAATGTTTTCCGAGGGTAGGCTAGTGCCTCTGGTCAAGGAGACACAGCGGAGTTAAACCTCTCGATCCGAAGCTCCATCTCTCCTACCAGCAGCTCCTCAGGGCAGTGCAGCTCTGGCGATGACACGAAAAGGATAGAACCCTCTAGACCCATAATGACCCATAGCGCTCTCTAAAGCCAGACTTACACTAGTTGCTCGGAGTTGTCCACAGCACGAAGGGTGGAAGACTGTGTCAGCCACATTGGAAAGGACGTTTGGGAAAGGGGAAGGAGGAAAGGACGCACCAAGGTGATCGGTCTGAACACTGGTCTCCGAGGGCACCGAGAAAAACACGCACCGGATGGGGACCGTGGCTTCTGGATGGATGACCAGGGACGTCTCGGTCCTAAAACCTGACTACAGATCTTTAAGAGACACCGATTTTGGACCAGGCAGGAGGCACCTGAGGGCAAGGAGACGGGGAATCAGAAGACCTAGCAGGGATGCAGTACATGACACCGGGACCTGCCTGGGTCGGGGGAGTCCGACACCCGCAGCAGCGCCTGGATAGGACAATTGGGAAAGGCAGCGAGGAACCCGGCACAAAGCCCGAGGAGCAAGCCGGGCAGCGCAGCACGAAAGGGCAACAATGGCTCGCGGAGTTGGTGCATCCGGCCGTGGTTCTCTCCGGGTGGGGACGGGGGTCTATACTGCGGGTCCAAGAGATCCGGTGCTGGAGCCCAGCTCAGGGTGGACCAAGACTGCCTGAAACGCTGACCCAGGGATTTGACCGGGTAGAGGGCTCCGAGCAGAGAGTGAGGCGATGCCCGCGGGGAATCCAGGTCGAGGGGCACTCCAGTTTCACTGGGTAGAGCAGGGCCTGCCCAAGCCGCCCCCAGCCCCCCCATTCCTCTTGTTTGTCTCCAAGTCCGGCCGGAACCGGCTTCTGCTCGCCGGGGGGCGGGCGGGTAGCTGCTGATTGGCCAAGGCCTGTTTCCAGCCCCACTCAGCCAATCAACGGGTAGCAGTGTTTTTCATCTTAGGGTAGGAATAAAAGGGCTGGAAATAAAGGGGGCAGAAAAGGCGCCGGGCGGGCCCGATACACACCAGTAAGAGCCGGGTAAGCTCGATTCCCGGGATCCGGGCCCCAGATGAGGGTGCGGGAACGTGAAGCTGCTCAGAGGCCGGGGTTAGAGGGAAGGTGCATGCTTGTTGGAGGGAAGACACTGGGCGAGAGACTTGACGAAAAGGGAGAGTAGGAGGATGGAGGGACAGGAGCTGCTTCTACAGAAACGGGCTAATTGCCAGGCGCAGGGGTCGCACGGTTGGCTCGCGCCGCCGGTTTGAACCGGCTTCGCCTCTCCCATGCGGGGTTCGCGTGGCGGTAGTGCCTAGCGACCTGGACACTGACCAATGGCGCGGCAGTTCCTGCGCGATCCCGCCAATGAATGCACCATGGGCGGGCCATTCCGGAGCTCCCTTCGCTGATCTTGTGGTTGAAGGAACAAGCTTTAGGGAAGGGTCTTGAGTGCGGGCGGGCGGGCGGGAGCCTTTCAGGGTCCTTGGGAGTGGCAGCTCCCAGGTGTGCCTCTGCTCAGGTGGCCTTATGGCAAACTGCCTCCTTTTACGGTCCCCGTACTAGCTATTCAGACTTGCTTGGGGCCAGGACCAGCTGCATGTCCTTTATGATGCGTTAGTCCCGTTCCAGCTGCCATGCCTCAGTTTACCTCCGAGTGAACTGAGGGAGAAGCTTCTCCATTTGGCCCGCAGGGCCCCACCGTGGCCGAAGGTAGCGGTACCAGCCAGTCACGGGTTCGGGGTGGCCCAGATTCCGGACAGGGCTGGGGTTCACTTCTTTTGCGGCATGCACCTACAGTCTGGGCTGCTGGGGGCTGACAATCTGGTGGCTGTGCGCCAGCGGTCATACTGGTTGGGTAGAGCCACAGCTAAAGCTGAGGTCTGTGCGCAGGTGTCTGCAGAGCCAGAGCCGGCCGCCACTGCCACACCGCACCATGGCGCCTACCCTGGCCACTGCCCATCGGCGCCGCTGGTGGATGGCCTGCACGGCTGTGTTGGAAAACCTCCTCTTCTCAGCAGTCCTCCTGGGCTGGGGCTCGCTGCTAATCATGCTCAAGTCGGAGGGATTTTACTCCTACCTGTGTACGAAACCAGGTGAGAAGGATGTCTGGGTTAGGGGCAGAGTTCCCAGAGTTCCCAGAGTGGGGTTTTGGGAGAGGGTGGGTGGTGGTGATGATCTAAGCAATGCCCACTTTGCTGCACAGAGCCTCCTACTGCCAAAAGGCCCATTTGATTCTCATCCAACTCTCTAGGTGCATATTATTACCATTGTCCCTGTTTGTGGATGGACCAGTCTTACATTTGCCCAAGCTGCAAACTAAATAGACTCAGGACCCCTAAGTGCAGTCAGGAACATAGCTGGCTTCCCGGTCTTCTAGGGCCTACAACATCGCTTGCCTTGCAGTAAACATGTGTAGAAAGAGGAACTCGATTCATAGGCCAGGGTGCAGCAACTAAGAGGAAGTGGCTTCGCCTCCACCAGAAGGAAGGTTCATCTAGATGTACATGTTTTTAAGGCAGGCCATTACGGAGTCTCCTAAGGGCTTGCCAAGATATAATTTCTTGTCTATTTTTGCTGCTTTATGATTCTCCAAAGGCCATTTCCTTTGCTAAACTGTGAGAACATCTCAGTGGCTTCCAAAACATAGTAGGGAGGAAGAGGAAGGGGACAGTGAGGAAAAGGACGCTAGGTGAGCTCCATTAACCTTCTCAAGGATGGCTGAGGGTTGCCTCGACGCCTCCAGCCCTTCCTCCTTCCATTGTCTTCCCACCCTGATTACTGCAGCTCAGTGGGGTCAGTTCATCAGAAGGGCTCAGTCAGCTACTAACCTCTCCCTTCCTTGGTAAGAACTGCCCTTGCCTTTGCTGTGCCCCACCCAGTACTTTAGTCCTCTCTGCTGATGGAGGTGGCCCAGATTTGACTCTTTAGGTCACTGTTAGCAGATTTTTTTTTTTAATTTTTTTTTTTTTTTTGTGATTATTCATTTGGGGGGTAGGGGTAGAGCACTCTGGAAAGTCAGAGGATGACTTCTGGTTGGTGGTTCTCTCCCACCATGTGAATACCTGAGGTTGAGATTGGGTTGACAGGCTCTGTGGCAAGTGCTTTAATGCCCTGAGTGTCACATCTAGAGTTATTTTTTTAAGACAATTTCTCTGTGAACCATTACGTGGCTCTAAAGGGTGTGTGTGTGTGTGTGTGTGTGTGTGTGTGTGTGTGTGTGTGTGTGTCTTTTGTTGTTGAGACAGGCTCTTATGATATAGCCCAGGCTAGCCTTTAATTTGTAATCCCTTCATCTCATTCTCCTGAGTGCTGAGATTACATGCCTACACTGCCTCTCCCAACCTCTCATTTTTAGCAGGAAGAGAAAGCTTTGGACCTGCTCCTACTGCCTGTAACTCTGAGCAATCTTTTGTTTCCTTTCTCTGATCTACCCAGAGGATCTTTAGTGTACAGAGCTTAGCAGGAGAGGGTAAGGGAGGGAGAAAGGGAGGGAATTCAAAGGCCACCTGGGAGAGGGCAGAAAGCCTATCGTTTATAACCAACCTTTAGCCTTTAGCACTCACAAATATTTCCTAATAGCCTAAGGGTTCTTGGCAGGTCTTTCCCCACATCAGCAAGAAATCTTGAGAGATGAGAGCCAGACCTTGTTCCCTGACCAAGCTTTCTGTTCTGCTTAAGAGATGTTAGGGAATTAATGGCTTCCCTGACACAAACAGAGGTGTTGGCTCTTTTCTCTCTTTGTTGGGGTGGTCCATTGGGGGTCTAAAAACAGAAAGGAAATAAAATCATAATCCCTGACAAAACTTTTAGTATCTCATCCATACGAGAGGACTGTTGAGATCAGTTCCTTTAAGTTCCTTTTCTTCCTTCCCTTTTTTTTTTTTTTTCTTTTTCTTTTCTTTTCTTTTCTTTGACTCATGGTGCTGGTGAAGTCAGATTGTCCACTTACACAATTTCTTGGATGGTATGGGCACCATGAGGCTGGAAACTGCTTTCCTGACGAAACTTTCTTCCTTCCAGAGACAGTGCCAGCGTAGTGCTGAGCTGGTATTTAAGTGCCCGAGACACTTGACAGGTCACTTCTACAAACCAAAGGGAAGGGGAAGGGTCAGGACTGTGGGTTGAACATCAACTTCTTATCCCGTGCCTTTGCTCCGCTGTCTGATTTTGGTTTTTCTGATTATCTGGCAAACCCGCTGACCTAGCATCCTTGCTGGGAAAGCCTGCTGATTCCACACAGCTTATCTCTCCAGCCTCCTTGCTTCTTGGAGACCAGCTAACCTGTTGACTTTTGGGACCAAAAGCCTCTGTGCTTCCTTGACTGGGAGTGCCTGGCAAGGTTAGGGTCAAGGTTTGCTCTGTGTCCCAACATTGTCAACCTCGGTGGATGGTTGAGTTGATTGTGTTAGACGTTTTAACCTGCTGTGTATAGCTGACTGAGATGCGAATGTCTCAGCTTTTTGTTGTTTTTAAGATTGATGGCTTGAGTTTGTTCACCAAAGGAAATTTGCCTGAACCTGTTGAAAGGTTTTCAGAACTGTGTTGGGACTGTAGCCAGAATCTGGCTACCATCATGGTGTTGGGTTCCAGTTTGGCAATGTGGGAAAAGGAAAGGAATTCCTTGAGTCCCTGTTCCCTTGCAACTTGCTTTGCTTTGCCTGTCACACGGCCCGGGACTAGTGCTTGGGAGCTGGGTCTGGGCATTGGATGAGTTTTGTGTATCACTCACCTGGTAATGGCAACTAGAGACCTCTCTCGTCCCCCTGGTGTGGACAGTTAGGTGTTAGTATGTGAAGAGTGGAGCTGTCCCAAGCTGAGTCCGTAACCACTCACCTGACATGACTTATTCCTTTTCTCTCTTCTCTTCTCTTTGTTTGTTTTGATTTTTATTTTTGGTTTTTCAAGACAGGTTTCTCTGTGTAGCCTTAGCTCTTCTGGAACTCACTCTGTAGACCAGGCTGGCCTCAAACTCACAGAGATCCACCTGCCTCTGCCTCCCTAGAGCTGGGACTAAAGGCAGAGGCTACCACCACCACCCAGCTTTCTGTTGTTGTTTGGTGGATTTTTGGGTTGTTGTTTTGTGTTTGAGACAGGATTTCATCATATAACTCTGGCTGGCCTGGAACTTGCTGACTGATCCTCCTGCCTCTTCCCCCTGAGTGCCAGGGCTAAAGGTGTATGCCAGCATACCAGGCCCTTTGGTGGATTTTGACAAGGACAGCTTGGGCAAGGGGTATCTGTGAATATTGTTTCTTCTTATTTAGTTCACATATTCAGTAAATGTCATTTTTGTTTGTTTGTTATGAGGTAGGGTCTCCATTGTATATCTCTGAATGTTCTGGAAATCACTGTGTAGACCAGGCTGGCTTTGAACTCACAGATATACCTCTGCCTCCTAAGCACCAGGATTAAAAGCATGAGCCACCACACCTGGCTTAATAAACCCTACTGAAGTGCTAGACTGGGGTCCCCTGAAAACAAGTCTGTACACACAGACTCTGTAGAGTTGAAGGTGGTAGGAATAAGACCAGCAGTGTGGATCTGGTTGTGCCCAGGTGGTAGGCCTCCCAAAACTTAAGGCAGAAGCCTAGAGGGTGGGGAAGGGTGAGCTGGGGTGCTTGGGGGGGGCAGTGGGAGGGGGAGCCAGAGTAGGCCATATCCTCACCTCAGAGGGGAAGACAAAGGGCTGGTACAGCAGGGAGATGACTGGGCAGGTGGAAGGGTTGGGAGGCAAGGAACACTGGATTTTATTCTCAAGGCCAGAAGGAAGCCAGGGAGGCAGAGGACCGCTGGGGTGCAGTGAACCTCTCGGAGGCTCTTGAACGGTTGAGGGCTTGCCGCATGCTGGGTGTGGGTGGAATGAGGCTTATGAAGATAGACATCTCCATGTCTCCTGCTAGAGTTCAGCCCAGCTCTGAACATGAAGATGAACCCTATCATGTGTCATGTGTGTTCATGGACGTGCTCTCACATTTATGGACACATGAGTGCATGTGCAAGTTGATGCCAGGATTCTTCTGTCCCTGTCCTCCTTTGTTTATTGAGGCAGGATCTCTCGCTGAGCTCAGAGCTCACAGCTTTTCCACGGTTAATGCGGACCAGATGCTAATGTTCATGCTTGAACAGCAAGTGCTCTACTGCCCAGCCTTGGCTGTCTGTCCTTGGCCTGTGCAGTCAGTACCTGCTAGGACCTCTCACCCTGACATCAAGAAATAAGACAGTGACTCTAGAGGGCAGAGGTCCTGCTGCCCCCTGGGGAAGTAGCACAGAGCCAGACTTGAGATGTGGACAGGGAGATTTCTGAGTTACTTCAAGGCCTTACCTCTTAGGGGCTTTTATCCTTCCCTTGAGCCAGTGATAGACTTTTAGAAATTGAACTTTTGACTTTTATTGCTTATGAGCATAACTGTCTTTTTTTTTTTTTTTCCTTGAGACAGGATTTTACTATATAATAGCTCAGGCTGGCCTTGAACTCATCCTCTCTTCTCTTTTGGAGAGAGTTTTATATGTAACTCTGACCTGGAACTCAGTATGTAGACCAGGATGGCCTCGAACTGCCTCAGCCTCCCAAGTGCTGGGGTTACAGGTGTGTGCCTCTGTGCTGGGCTTGTCCTTTCTTCTTTTAGCCCAATTTGTTTTTTATTTATTTTTTTCAGTGCTAGGGATCAGAACCAGGTCTTCATACATGCCAGGTAATTTGCTTTACCACTTAGCTACACCTATAGCTCACCCATAGTTTATTTGGAATTCAGGAAACTCCAGAAGAAACAGTAAGGGCTAAAAGCTAGTACCTGCAGCCTCAAAAAAAAAAAAAAAAAAAAAAAAAAAGTCACGAAAAGAGTACCCTTGTCTGCCATCATCACCCTTACCCTTCTCGTGACCTGATTCCCCTCCCTGACATCTGTTGTCCTATTTTGTCTTAGTGTCTCTTGAAGGTCCTGGGGGGTGTGGGTTGGCTTTCCGTGCCTTTGTAGAAGAGCAATAGAACACCCTTTCTCACTAGGTGATAGGAAGGGCCCTGGTGTGGCCCAGCATTTTCCCAGCTTTGTTCTCTCGGCCTCTAGACTGCCTCTAACCCACAAGGACAGCATAATCACAGTCTCGGGCTCTGACAGACTCCATTTGAGTCTAGCTCTGCAAGACCTTTCTGTAGACACCTGCTCTGCCATTCCACACACAGTGTCGTGGAATGTGGGGTCAGCGTGAGAGGGCACTGAGTGGCCCAAAGAATGAATACTACCGATCAGTGGCCAGTACTCAGGCTGCCTGCAGGAGGTTGCTGTTGCCACCGGGACCTGAGAGAGAGAGAGAGAGAGAGAGAGACAGACAGACGGGGGGGGGGGGGGCAGCAGTGCTCTGATGACTATGTCCTGTCCTGCCTGCTGTGTGGCTTATACGACCTCTCACCCACATCTCCCCTGCTGGGCCGAGATGCTGCTTCCTGTTGCCGGATAGACTAAGGATGGGAGAGTGGCAGGAGATGCTGGGGCAGGTACCCTCCGGAGGGCTGGCCCGAGGTCAGCACCATGGAGGGGAGGGGCTCAGTCACCAGCCTGAGAAAGAAGCCTTCCCTCAGCACTGGCAGGGAGATATTCTGGAGTTCCCCACTCTCTTTGTTTGCCTGGGGTGAGGGGAGGACTCTCGCTGACCCTAGAGAAGCCTAGGGGAGCTCTGAGTGGGGTTACAGAACTCTCTTGCCTCCTCTGCCTCCTCTGCTAAGATTTTGTTTGTGAGTCTTCTGAGTGGGGCCAACAGTACAAGGCATTGTTCTCTCTTCCTGACCCTGGCAGCCTCAGTACACTGTGGTACACCAGTTTCTTGTCTGTCTTCTTGTTAGCCCTCCTTGGCTGTGTTAATCTGGGCTGTTCTGACCACCCCGAGGTTGAGGCACCTATTTAATAACAGGTACAGGTGGGACCCAAACAGGCTGGCCTGAGCTGGGTTGTCGATGGCTGCACTCTAGACTGAGCAGGGCATATCTTGGGACTTGACACTTCCTAGGTACATATCTGTTGGTCCCTTTCCTGGCTTTCTGTGGCCAGGTGGGAGAAGACAAAACTGGAACAACCTGGGTATGACTAGGCATGGGACCAAGATAACATGTGTGGGCTGTTTATTGCTAACAGAGCTCTAGGCTCCCTGAAGGTTCAGTTCCCTCCCTATGTAAAGGACATTTAAGTTTCTTCCCCAGACAAAGAAAAGAGGTTATTTGGTCCCCCCAATTTCCAGATCACTTTCTGGAGGGAGGTAAGCAGAGGCCTGGTGGCTGCATTGAAAATATTTAAGAACAGATATGGGTGATTTGAAGTATTGATCCCTACTGCTGGGTATAGGGTATAGTGGCTCCAGAATGAATGAAGAATAGACACACATTCTTCTACCCCAGCCCCCCTCATCAGAGGCCCCGTGTCTAGTTGTAGACTGGGCAGATCATCAAATAACTTGAAATGTTGCCAGATGGTGGCACACACCTTTAATCCCAGCACTTGGGAGGCAGGGGCAGGCAGATCTCTTGTGAGTTTAAGACCAGCTTGGTCTACAAGAGCTAGTACCAGGACAGTCTTCAAAGCCACAGAGAAACTGTCTCGAAAAAAAACAATAATAACAACAACTTAAGATGTCTATCCTCATGTGCTTCTACTGTATGAGGAGACAGACGATGTCTTTGGATTTAAATTTTCTAAATTACATTTAGATATGTTTGTGTGTGTGTCTGTGTGTCTGTGTGTGTCTCTCCGTGTGCATGTGGAAGTCAGCAGGTGTTACAGGTGTTGGCTCTCTGCTTCCATCATGTGAGTCCTGGGGACTGAACTCAAGTTGTCAGGCTTGACTCCATCTCATCTGTGCTGGCTGCCATACCTGCATAGTTGCTTAGAAATGCTTATCATTGCTGAGTGGAAGCCTGGTCCCCATACTCAGGTCTACTTCCTGTTCTGCTGCCAGGCCTGACACCCGAAACCATCTCTTCCCTTCCAGGAGCTGCTCACACCTGCTAGCCACAGCAACACATGGGACCAATGGGCTCAGAGAACCCCGTTTGCCATGTGTTTTGGCTGGAAGATATCTTGTAAAAAGGGGATTGAAAGTGGCTGGGTTGGGAGTTTGTCCTGAAATGTTTTGTTTGTGTGAGTCCAGGCTGTTAACTTGTGGCTCTGATCTCCCCAAGTCCCTCTGTCTTCATCTTGGATCTGCATGTTCTATTATTTCCTTTCCCTTCTTGATCTCTTTGGCTACTGGGATCTGGTTCACTGTCTCTATTCATCCAGTAAACAGCATCTGTGGCCTGGGCCCACTGAGATAATGTGACACGGGGGCCAGAAGACAGTTTCTAGCCTCAGACTCAGCCCAGTGGACAACTAAGCACAACACTCATCCATCCCATGTTGACACAGCACTGTGTCCCCTGCCACTGTGCCATCCTGTTAAGTCACCCTCATCCTGAGTCCCAGTACAACTGACACTAGCAATAACAGTTATTTACCAAACACTCTGTATGCCCACTAGGAGCTCTATAATGCTATCTGTTTTTTTTTCATGAGTGTTTGTCCCTAAAGCTCTAGAGGTACATACTGTCTGCTATATTATGTCAAGTCACATTTCTAAGGATTTGCAGCAGGAAGCAGGGGAAGGGAAATTAGAATCCAGAGGCAGACTCTGCCATCATGGTCTCCGCATGCCCCCAGCAGGGCTTATTGGTGGAGGTTGGCAGATGCCATTAGCCCCCCCCCCCACTGCTTTCTTTTCACTTTTCTTGGGTGGCTCTGAGAGGCCAGGGCAGACTCTGGAGCTCTCAGCTGAGCAGCCCCAGTTGCAACTGGGAAGGGAAGCAGTTAATCTGAGGAAGTTTCTTTGGCTCTTTGGTGGAACCTCAAAGCTCACCAGTCGGCCAGTTTCTGCAGGATTAGTCAGCATCACTCAAAGAGTGAGGTCTAGCAGTCCCATTCTCCGCCCGTCCCCATCCTCCTGCTAGTACAGTACTTCTCTCTTCCTGTTTTTGTGCTGTTTTGAATCTGGCTGAACTTTGGGGGGGGGGCACCCATGTGTGCAGGTGTGGCTGAGAGCAGCTCTGATGTAGTCAAGGGAGGGAGTGAACATCAACACTGACTCCAGTAAGAGAAGTAAGAATAGACAGACCGTCTCCATAAATAAAAGAAGGTGACTTGGTCCTGTTCCCCAAACAAAAATCCAGCTGGGGGTGTAGCTAAGTGGTAGGTAGCTTGGTTTATACACGTGGAGTCCAACCTTTTTGGCTCTGAGTTACATGGTGGTTGAAGGTGTGGAAAGTCTAGGGTAAAAGTGTCATGTGACTTGAGCTGTGCTTTAGAAGTAGAGGTGAAGAGGTTCATCCACTTTGCTCAGAGTGGCTGAGGAAAGCCCAGGTGTTCTGGTGAGACCAGCAGCTTGCCTTTCCCAAGTCCTCCTCCACACTGCCTGCAAGTGTTTCTGTGGACAGAGCTACTAAGCACATTTGAGACAGCCAAGGCTGGACCCTGAGCTGCTGTTACTGGGTATAGAGTATAGGATACTCTAGATGAAAATCACTTTTTTTTTTTTGAGACATGATATCATGTAGCCTAGACTAGCTGCAGATTCATTCATTATCTGTGAATGATTTTGAGCCCCTGGTCCTCCTGCTTAGATAACAAGCATTCACCATCATTCTAGAGTGGAAATCCCAATCTAGGACTAAGGGTGGGTGTCAGAGGACACATGAAGGCCTTTTGGACAAGACTTGTCTTTTCTGAGGAATGGCTTTCTTTATTGGATTCTTTGACTGGTCTGTGATTTCTATAAATGTTGAAAACATCTTTGTTATTTCTGCAGGGGTCTGGACGAAGAAGCTATGCCTTGTCAGTTGCCGGAGTCTTTTTTTTTTTTTTCTTTTGAGACAGGGTTTCTCTGTATTGTTTTTGAGCCTGTGCTGGCACTTACTCTGTAGATCAGGTTGGCCTCAGACTCACAGAGATCTGCCTGCCTCTATTTCCCGAGTGCTGGGACTAATGGCGTGTGCCACCAACGCCAGGTTTTTTATGGCCTTTCAAGACAGGGTTTCTCTTTTATTGCTTTGGAGCCTGTCCTGGAACTCACTCAGTAGACCAGGCTGGCCTCAAACTCACAGAGATGCACCTGCCTCTGCCTCCCCAGTGCTGGGATTAAAGGCATGTGCCACCAACACCCAGCTCAGTTGCTGGAGCATTAAGGCTCTCAGAGCAAGCTCTGAGTTTCTCAGTAGTATAATTCTGAAGGAATATTTGTCTCTTGGGTCTTTGCAAATGCCTACCGTGGTCTCTTTCTTTATATACACAGAGAATGTCACCAATGACACAGTTGGGGGCACCGCAGAGCCAGAGCATGAGGAGGTGAGCCTGGTCAATGGCTGGCTCAGCTGCAAGGCCCAAGATGAGATTCTAAATTTGGCATTCACCGTGGGTTCCTTCCTGCTCAGTGCCATCACCCTGCCTCTGGGCATCATCATGGACAAGTATGGCCCAAGGAAACTCAGGCTGCTGGGCAGGTCAGTATGGGTTCCTTGGGGGCAGAATGAGGCTAGGTGATACCTTGAGCTGCATTCCCTGCTGTAGGGAATCTTGGAATATGCTAGCAGGTGCTCCATGGGGCTCCCTAAATGCCTGCCTGGGGCAGGGTTACTACATTATCTGGCACAGAATCAATAGATACAGTGACTCTCCCGTGATCTACATGCAAGCCACAGGTCTCACACACATCTGGGATGACCCAAACTTGCTTGACTTGTCTTTAATATTAGTTAAAGATGGCTCTTCAGGTAAAGACACTTGCCACCAACCCTTATGAGCTAAATTCTATCCTTGGAACCCACATGGCAGAAGCTAGAGAACTGATTCCGGCAACTTGCCCTCTGACCACCATACTCATGCCATGGAATGCACACACCAGTGCAGTACCTATGTGCCTATACACACTAAAGTAAAATAAACAGAAAGGAACATTGGTTTCCAAAATTTTGTTTTGTTTTGTTTTTTGAGACAGGGTTTTTCTGTATTATTTTGGAGCCTGTCCTGGAACGCGCTCTGCAGACCAGACTGGCCTCGAACTCACAGAGATCCTCCTGCCTCTGCCTCCTGTGTACTGGGACTAAAGGCGTGAGCCACCAATGCTCGGCTGGTTTCTAAAGATTTTTTTACTTTATACTTCCTCCAGGAAGAACATGTTGAACATGTATAAATATGTGCAAATGTGGATTGGGTATACATGTATCATTCTTCCTCCGTGTGTGTGTGTGTGTGTGTGTGTGTGTGTGTGTGTGTGTGTGTGTGTGTGTTTAGGGGATGAGAGGTGCTGCACATTAAAATCTGCCTAATGTGTACTGAACAAGTGTTTTACAACTGAGTTATAGCCCACATGTGTCATCCTTCATATTATGTGCTTTAACTACAAGGGTTATGGATGAGGCTTAGTGGTAGATTGTTTGTCCAACATGTGCATGGCCCTGGGTTCTACCCCCAGCACTACAAAAATAAAAATGTGAAAATAAAGTTGATCAATTCATAAAAATGAATGAAGTTTTGGGGTTTTTGTTTTTTGTTTTGAGACAGGATTTCACTGTATCCTTGACTGTCCAGGTTGTCCTCAAATTCAGATCCACCTGCCTCTGTCTCCCAAAAGCAGGCGATAAAGGGATGCACCTCCACTGCCTGGCAAAATGAATGAAATTTTAGCAATTATGAAAGGCCGCAGAGGCTGCAAGTCAGTGGTATAGCAGTTGTGTAGCACAGAAGACCCAGGGTTCAGTTCTCAGCACTGAAAACAAATCCTAAGAGCCCATCATCCTCCTAGTCATCTTGCATGCCTCATGAGGCATATGTCCCTGATCTCCCTAGAATTGTTAAGTGACAATTATAAGCACAGTAAATACTATATACTAACAGCATAGTGTCAGTAGTATCAACAGTACACTTTGTGTTTGGTTTTAGTGCCTGCTTTGCAGTCTCCTGCTTGCTGATTGCATATGGAGCAAGTAACCCAGACTGTGAGTATGCCTGTTCTCTCTGCCTGCCAGAAGCTGGGGGAAGCTGTATCATCCACAGGTGTTCACTGGCCCACCTGCTTTTGGATGCTATCTTAGGCTTGGTGCTCCCTGTTCAAGCCAGAAGGGAGGCTACTTGACCCTTTACTCACTTATCTCCTGGGTGGCTGGGCAGCTCTCTGGTGGTCTATTGCCTAGGATTTAGCTCTTTCAAATGTGTGGCTAGTAAGAGAATAATCACCCCATGCAGAAGTGTGAGAGGTGATCTCAGGGTGTCTCAACCCTAAGCCACCAACCCAGTCCCTGGTAATAGCCTCGCTGATGCCACTTGAAAGACAAGCTTTATGGACTAGGCCAATTACAGGACATGGCCTTCCACGGTGCAGAAATGGTAGGCTCAGCCATCTTGTCTTCCTCCTCTATTTTGTCTCAGTACTAGGAATTGAACCCAGGGCTTACAAATGCCAGGCAAGTAAGTACTCTGCCACTGAGCAACTCTTCCCCCACACTTGAGACTGAGGTAGCCCAAGCTTGTCTCAAATTTGTAGTCCTCCTGGCTCAGCCTGAAGGCTGGGATTACGGGCATGATATACCACACCCAGCTGAGCCATGCCCTCCAGGCAGCCTAGGCCAGCCCTTGAAAAACAGTTTAGGTAACACCTGGATCCCACCCCCAGTCAAGCAGTTTAAAGGGCTTTTAGAACAATACCAAACTAGGACCTGAATTTCACTAACCTCTTAGCCAAGCTCATCTACTAATTCTCAGGAACTTGGGGTTTTGTTGTCTACGAGCAGCCTTTGGGGCTGTTTGATTTCTGCTAGGTTAACATAAAAGAGAGTGGATTCACATCTTTTACTAGAACTCAAGTTCCAGGAGGTAGGCAGGAGGACAAGGGTGCGGGGAAGGATGTTCTCCAAGCGGCACTAACCTTTGATGCCCTGTCCATTATTTTTAGCTCATCTGTAGCCTTCTCAGTATGGAACACTGTGCTCCTGTGTTCCCCTACTCATGGCTTTCTGTCTGTCCACAGCGCTCTCTGTGCTCATCTTCATCGCCTTGGCTCTGAATGGCTTTGGGGGGATGTGTATGACGTTCACGTCATTAACAGTAAGTACTAGTTTGTTAAGGAACATTTTCAGCTGAGTAAATGGTGCACATTCGTTGGTTTTCAGATCCTTTCTTTCCATTGCCCTATGTGCTTGGATGTCCCAAGCTGTGGAGGGGCTGTGGGTCTGTGTCCTGATAGCATAGCCAATCTCATAGGTTCTAAAGCAGGCAGGCGTGACTCCTAGGTTGATTTGCAGCTGCCTCTGGCCTTGCCTGTGGCATGGAGGAGCAGGTCTCTGTCAGAGAAGACAAGCAGGGAAAAGAAAGGCTATATTGCCCATGTTGTGGTTTATCCTCCATGGCTGTTATCCCAGGCTCCAGGAACTCTGGCTAACAATACCATTTGTAGACAAGCCTGTTCTGGAACCACCCAGCCCCAACCTTTTGCAGGTGCCTGGGACCAAGTGGCAACATTGTGATACTTTCCTTGGCTAGGGCACAGATGTCTGGCTAGATAGGTGCAACTGTTTCTTGGAATATAGAGCATGTGCTTGGCAGGCCCACCAGGATGCCACAAAATGGGTTTCTTTTCAAATTGGGAGAAGGGGTGTGGGGGGAGTTGAAGGAATTTAAGGAAGGAATAGAAACATCTTTCCCCAGGGAAGATTGCAGACTTGCCTGGCCAGGCAAGGGTACCATTCAGAGGCTTCTATCAACAGGGACATCTCCTGACTCAGTTTACCTCTGAACAAAGTCTGGGGATACACTACCACCATTGCTGTCTGCAGTATGGTTCTGATTTCCTGCTAATGTTTTTGTGCTGAGAGCTCTGGGACCTTTTTGGTCCTTTGATAAAAGAGCATGAAGAGGTGCTGGCATAGTTGGGACCTGCCTGTAGGCCCACATCTTCTCCTTTCCCTGCTTTCCCTGTCAGGGAGGATTAGCCCTCTGGGCCTATGTCCATGGACAGGGACAGTCCTTCAGTAAAAAAGGCCCAGTGTAGGCAGTCAGCCGGTGTGGTGAGCCCTGGGTATGGGTATTTGAGGGTGAATTAAGCACATAAACCTGGGTGCCCAGTTGCTTCCCCTCTGCTGGTGCCTGTGAGGTTTACTTTGTATCTGTTGGGGCATTCTTATTTTTGTTTTTAAATCAGATTCATTTAAAATCAAAATAGATGTTTTCTCCTCTCATAATCCCAGAGGAAAACAAATGTTGAAACAGTGAGAAATATGTCCACACTGTGAAAAGTACACAAATTCCACTAGGTTGTGTAAATGTGAAACAGGAGTCATGCATGGTTCTGTTTGTTCTTGGACAGCATGGAAACCACCAACCATTTTTTTTTTTTTTTTATCAAGATGAAAAATAAAAACCTGGCATCGCCTTTGTTATTTTAGTCATGTTGAACATCTGTTAGGGCAGATCTGAATTTCAGGGATATGAGTTTGAGATGGTCCTGGGACTTGAGGAACTTAAGTGTCAACGTGCAGAAGAATGCTTAAGTCATCATGAAACATGGGCTGCTATGGGCTGGGGTGCAGCTCAGTGGCAGAGTGCTTGTCCAGCATGCACATGACTCCGGGTACCAACCCCAGCACTGGTGGTACACACCTGTGATCCCAGCACTCGGAAGGCAGCAGTGAGACAATGTGACTTTGAGGCCATCTTGAGCTTCAGAATGAGGCCTTACACCTGTACCCCTGAAATAAAGGAAAAGGATAGCTAGACATGATAATTTGTTCTTTGAATCCCTGCGCTTAGGAGTAGAGGATCAGGAGTTCAGGGTCATCCTCAGTTACATAGGAAGTTCAGGGTCACCCTGTCCCAAACAGTAAAGCCATTCTGGATACTGTTACATAGGAAGTTCAAGGCTACCCTGGGCTCCAGCAGACCCTGTCCCAAACAGTAACAGCCATTCTGGATACTGTTACATAGGAAGTTCAAGGCTACCCTGGGCTCCAGCAGACCCTGTCCCAAACAGTAACAGTAAAAGACAAATATATGAAAAGCACCATATGGGGAGTTCCTTATAGGAAATCTTGTAGAAGCCTGCTGTGGTGGCCCACATCTTTAATCCCAGCACTCAGACAGAGGTTGGAGAATCTTTGTGATATCAAGGATAGCATGATCTACACATTGAGCTCCAGGGCAGTCAGGACCATGAAGAGACCCTGTCTCAAATAAAGAAAGAAAAAAAAAAAAAAAAAAAAAAAAAGAAAGAAAGAAAGGAAAAGAAAAGAAAATTAAAATAAGAAAGAAATCCTGTAGGGCAGATACAGTGATATGCATATAATCCTGGTTCTTAGGAAGATTAAAGTCTACACAGCAAAATACTGCCTCAAAAAAAAAAAAAAACCAAAAACATTCCAAAAAGAAAGCAAGCCTTTGTTTTGTGCGCATGCTTCCTGTTTCATTACTCTTTTTTTTTGTTAGCACACAGAAGAATAGATTTTGTGATGACATTTTTACATATACCTATCGTTCTGCTCATTCATATTCCCTCCTACTATCTCCATCACATAGAGAAAGCCTTGAAAATGAAATTGGAAGCTGTTGTCCAAGTAATGAACATTTTAAGTATTCACCATTTCAGAAATTTAAACTGTAGACTGCAAAATTCTAAATGCCTTATCCTCATCAATTTTAGAATATATTGTTCAGTGTTGTTTTGTCTGTGCATCAGGGTTATCCTTTTGACCTTGCCTGTATCGGTTTGTTTTAGCTACATAATTTGTCTTCCATTTCCCTGCCAGTACCTAGAGCTCTGCAGTCTTCCTTTAGTCTCCAGTGATTGTCCTTGCTATTGCTCAGTTCCATGCTACCCTGTAGTAGAAATGAATATAATTTACTCAGCCAGTTTCCTACTCAGGGATCTTCAACTTGGTTTCCAGTTCTTCCCTTTGTGAACATGGTTGAAATGAACATCCTTTCCTTGTATTTCTGTAAAATAAGTTCCAGGAAGTGGGATTTCTAGGCTTCTGGATTAGCATGTTTTAAATTTTAATATATGCTTTCAAGAGGGCTTCTAAAATGGAGTCTACTATTCATTCACACTTGCAGCCCCAGTAATGTGCCTCTCTCATATCCCCCTCCAAGACTACATCACTCATCTCTGTGTAGCCCTAACTGTCTTGGAACTTGCTCTGTAGATCAGGCTGGCCTCGAACTCACAGAGATCCCCCTGCCTCTGCCTTCCAAGTGCTGGGATTAAAGGCATGTGCCACCAATGATTGGCTCCATCATTTATCTTTAACATTTTTTTTTTGTACATTTATTCAACTTGATTAGTTTGTTGTGTGTGTAGGCATGTGCACATGAAGCTCGTGCGGAGGTCTGAGGATGGATTTCTGAGTTAGTTCTCTCCTGCACTATGTGGGTTCACGGGAAGGAACTCCCTTGTTCTCAAATGTCTTTATTCACTGAGCCATCTTGCTGGTCCTCTTTCATCTTTTAGTTATTTATTTTCGTTTGTTTCTTTAAGGTCTCAGTATGTAGCCCTGGCTGGCCTGTTCCGTGCTATGTAGACCAGGCTAACCCAAACTCACAGAGCCAATTGCTGCTTTCTATGTGCCTCTTTCATCTTTTAAACACTGGATAATTTCACACAGCAAAAAATGTTGTGCCAAAGTTTCAGAGTTTTTTCTTTCATCACAAATGAGGTAAAACAGCCTCTTACTCTTTTTTATTTGTTATGTGTTTATTTCTAAGACAGAGTCTCCTGTAACCCTGGCTGCTTTTGAACTTGCTCTGTAGCCCAGGCTGGCCTTCACTCCTGATCCTCCTGCTTCTACCTCTCAAGTGCTAAGATGCAGATGTGTCCCTGGCCCCTGTCACCTCTTATTAGTAATTGTGTATTTCAGTGAATTTCTTTATTGTAACATTTATCTAATTTTCTTTTGGGTTTTTTTTTTTTTTTTTTTTTTTTTTTTTCTTTCTTTATACTTTGTAAAAATCTCTTTGAAGTGGGGCAGTGGTAGCACATGCCTTTAATCCCAGCACTTGGGGGCGGGGAGGGCAGAAGCAGGTGAATTTCTATGAGTTCAAGGCCAGCCTGGTCCACAAAGCAAGTTCCAGGAAAACTAGGGCTGTTACAACAGAGAAACCTTGTTTTGCAAAACAAAAAACTCTTTGAAATACAAATAATCTCACTATAGGAAATTATTGTAAGGAGATTTTTTTAAATAGGAATTTAAAAACCTAGGGTTTTTAGTTTTTTGTTTTTTGTTTTTTTTTTTAGTCCATGAATAGGCTCCAGAAAAACTATGCACTTGGCCCCCAGGCAAAAAGTATATCTGTTCTGCTCAGGGGCGTTGGCTTGCACAGTGCTGGTTGCCTTCATCATCACTCTCTGTGTGTGTGTGTGTGTGTGTGTGTGTGTGTGTGTGTGTGTGTGTGTGTGTTTCTGGTAGCTCCTGACTCTCCCTCCCACCCACTTCAGGTACCAGGTGCTGCTAGATGGTTAGCAGGTAGTATGTAAAGCATTTGGTAGGAGGGACCTGTGTAGGTGTAGGGCTTGTCCTCTGACTTCTTTATCTAGAGCGCAGGGGTCAGTACCAGCTTCCCCAGGCCTGGTACAAACTTCTGCCTGTTTTTATAAACAGGATTTTGCTTGAATCACATTATGTGGGTTTGCTCACATGTTGTCTGTGGAGGCTGTCAGACTGTCAGGACAGAGACCATATGGCCCACAAACACACAAGTGTTTACTCTCTGGCCCTTTATGGAAAACATCTGCCAGCCTTTGGTCTAGAGGCTCCAAGAGGCTTCACTGTTCTCCACCTGAGGGTGAGGATCAGCACCCCACAGACCCCCAGGACCCTCTGGTTGTTTAGGCTAGCTCTCTAAGCACTTTTTGAGTTGTCTCTGCCCCTCCCCCAGGCTGGAGGGATCTCCTTGGACATTCCCTTGTCCCATGAGGCTTCCCACGGGACCTGCTCTCTCAAGAGAATTAACCCTGAGAGAAAAGAGGAGGACAGACTGAAACTGTTAGGCAATGTTACTGGCTTTCTGCTGAGCAGAGCTGAATCTGCTTCTAACAGCGCAGGCCTTTAGAACTGTAA